TCCCTCTCCCTCCCATGTACCCTCCATCCACAGTGTCAGCGGACCACCCGGCTCCACTTGCAACTTTCCAAGGTGCATCATGGCCTCTTTCCCAGGATGCACTGCAGTGGCACGTTTCCTCTCACCACTTTCCCACTGTTACTTGGCCTGGACACCCCTGGCACCAACTGCATCTAGTCTCCAAAGAGGGACAAGAGCCAGCAATCAAGCTTCCCTTACCCATCAGGAAAGCATGAACCCCTTGGTCTGCGTCCCATAGCACCGTATCTGTACCTTTATAAGGTCTCTGCTTTCTAGCTCACAAGAGAGAAAAAGAGAGACAGAACACATGAGAGAAAGAAGTATAGAAATATCTACATAAGAAACATTTATGTCAGACACAGGGAGATGCACGTATATTTCTATAACTTCTTCCTTGACAGCACAACAACATAAGGTCAGGACTGACCCCACCTCAACTCACATGATGCCTACCATGCCGTGTTTGCTCTCAGTGAGCCACAGGAAACGAGAGAGAAATGGAAAGCAGAAAACTCACAAAACAGACTTTCTACCTTGCCTGGCTTTCTAGTATACACAAGTCATCTGACAGAACACACTTTTTAAGAGAAGATTAAAATTTTAAGAGAAAAAAGCATACACATATGCTGACAAAGTGAGGCATTCATAGCTATTCTTTAAGGTACTGTAACAAAATCATGTTGAACTTAGCTACTTTTCTCATTGCGGAGACAAAATACCCAACACTCAAAGTTAAAGGAAGAAAGGTTTATTGAAGCTCACAGTTTACAGAGGCTTCAGTCCATAGCAGGCTGGCTCCAAGGCAGGGTGACATGGAGAGGGCCATCACAGAAGCGAAACAGTCCATGGCAGGCAGAAGGCAGCAAAAAAGCAAGCAACAAGCCACTTTCTGTCCCTTATGTCTTATCTAGGCTGCCCTCCCTTAGGGCACATAGCACGCACAGCCATAACCCTAGCACCTTTAATCCCAGTGCTGCACTATGAATCAATTCCAGCACGAATCACTCAGATCCAGCCACCTCTGAAAAGCCCGACCTATGACCACATGAGGCTTTGGGAGGGCATCTAGACATAAGCCATAACATAAACTAAGCCTGAAAGGGCCTTAAAAGATCAAAGAGTAGCAACGAAATATGGTATCAAAAGAAATAACAGCATAAAGACACAGATCAACGTCGAGAGAAACAAAGCCAGAAATAAGGGCAGGCGAGGACTGACACAGTCACAGTCAAGGCTTGGCACTCACAACACAAGGACACATGCATCGACCCAAAGCAGGTTAAGAGTCCCTTCTGAACTCATGTGAGGTTATGTATGGAAAATAGCAGTTCTAAAACACTACAACCAACAGCAAAGGCCATACTTTACCTAAAAAGTTGACAAGAAAAAAATAAAAACAGCATGATTTTCCTATCCTTATAATGGTCTTATTTTACAATCAAAATAAATGCTTTTATGTTTAAAAACTCATATAAATATATGATTACTTATATATAGTTATTTATAGCATATATAATTACATCCAATTTTATAAAGTATAAGAACCTCTACCTTTGCAAAAGGTAACCACAAAAGAAAAGCCTATCTTCAAATTTCTTAAGGATATGACTGACTCATCAACACAGGAGCGACATAAATCAAAAGCAGTAAGTTAGAGTGTTTTGGGTTGTTTTTGGTTTTTGGTACTGGGTATCAAATTTGGGACCTTGCACTTTCGAGGCAGAGCAGTGGCACCACTGAGCTAAATCCCTGGCCCCAGTTAGAGTATTATCCTTATTCAATCCTAAATACAGTATTGACTGTGGCTATCATTTTCTGAATATCAATTATGTACCACATATTTAATCTCCAACCAGCCTGCAGACACTAAATTTCAACTTCTTGGAGATTTTTTAAGAAAACTACTGAGAACTTCTAGAAGTGAAAAATCTAACAACTGAAACCAAAAGCACAGGCCTAGTCAAAAAAGAGGTGATGGACAAAGGGAAAAGTAAAATAAAAAATCTTTTACAAAAATGTTAATCAGACAGCAGATACATTTTTTCAAAATGGAATCATGTATTTCAGTAATTCAATGTGTCCATGTTCTCCACCTTTCCTCATTAAGTATATATATATATAAAACATAAAAAATTAAAATACTTGCTACTTTTCTTTTTTAACAAATACAAAGGAGAAAAAAGAAGAGAATGATAAAATTAAAAGAGATTCCATGAGAAAGGACATCTAGACAATAAAATTCCCAAGGAGAATAGAGAAAATAATCAAAGAAATAATTCAAAGAATTTTCTCAAAAATGAGGAGTATGAGTAACCAAACTAAGGCACCAGCACGGTAGATATAAGAAATTCACTCCAAGCCACAGCATGGTCAGAATTCAAAACTCTGGGGGGAAAAGAAAGTCTGAGAGAGAAAAGGGGGAAAAAATCAGAGAAAGAAAACTGGGCTTTATATCCGAATGACATTAGAATTCTCAAGAGCAACACTAGAAGCTAGAAAAACCTTCAAAATTCTAAGGAAAATTATTTCCGCCCTACAATTCTGCTGAACCTGATCATCAATCAAACATAAAGACAGAATCAGCCATTTTCGGACAGCAAGGCTTCAACAGACCATGTATTCCTTCTGGGGAGATAGAGGAGGTTATGACTGGCCAAAACAGTGAAATAAACCAAGAAGAAAAGAGAGCAAGTGAGAGCATGAGCGCCCCAGGAAACAGGGAGCAATGCAACAGCGAGAAATACGGACAGAACTCTCAGGGTGCAGGTGGAGTGAGACTCTAGAACAATAGGTATGTGGCAGTCAGAAATTTAAACTACAGAGGATTAGAAAGTTCAGAGACACACCTCTCCACAAAAGTAAAACTTGCGCAGCAAGAGTATATGTGATGTGCTGCAGGGAGATTTACACTGCCAGTGGGGTGAATGCAAAGGTAAATCTATGGTAAGTGTCTCATAAAACTCAGCATTTAAAAGAAAGAAAAAAGAAAAGCAACGTCTAACAATGTAGCTCAGAGTGGCGCACTTTCCTAGTAGGTGAGAGGTCCTGGGTGTGATCCCTAGTGGTGGTAGGGGGATAATGTAAATACAAGTAACAGGCATCTTGATGTGGACCTACAGAGCCCTGCGGGGACAGGAGTCACCGGGACCTTCCTGACCTCAGCTAAGCACCTGCATCTGTGTCACCCAGGCTGGCCCCCAAGGTGCTCCTGAACAGTGCTCCTAGAACCTGCCCTTTTCAGGGCTGTGCTTGGGCGACTCCCTGTGCACGAAGCCTCTCCCACACACCTCTTGCAGGTTTTCAGGCCACCACAGTGAGATATTCTTCTACGCTGACCAATCAACAAATGTTTACAAGTGCCATCAATCCCATCATGAAAAAGACGAATGAGAATATGAAATCACAGGAATGTTCACGTACTGCTGATAGAATGGTCAGCTGGTACAACTGCTATGGAAAGAATCTGTTATTACCTAGCAAAACTGGAGATGTACTTTCCCAACAAGCCAGGAATTCCACTCCTCCTTACACATCCTACAGAAACTCTTACACATGTGTGCCAAAGGAAGGCACAATAATTTTTACCACTGTACTATTTTTATAACACAAAAGTAGTTGGAAACAAAGCAGGTTTTCATCCATGAGAGAATGGTTAAATGTTTCACATTATTCATTAAAAAAAAATCCTCATAGTGATTAAAAATGAATGAACTAGAGCAAGTCACAGCAAGACTTCTAAGTGTGTGATTCCATCTGTATAAAGTCCAAACATCAAACTAAATATAAGTAAGTGCTAAAACTATAAAGAAAGCAAGAAAATAAAACAAAAGTCAAGACCGTGGTTGTCTGGGGGGAGACAGAATGGAATCAGTGACTAGCACAAAGGAGACTTTGGTGTGTGTGGGCAAGAGAGATCTTTTGCAGCCTAAAAATTCCATAATAAAATTCTCTAAAAAAACACAAGCCAAGGGCCAGGGATTTAGCTCAGTGGCACCGTGCCTGCCTTGCAAGTACTGCCTTTT